CCAGATGAAGTATTCCTTCAAAGTTGGTGTGCTTGTATAAGGACATTGTAAAGAATAGGACCAGAGAATTCAGGATCCGACTTCTAAAAGAGAAAATTTATACCTATAACTTTGATTTCTGTATAGAGGGCCTTTCACCAGGATAATATGGTTAGCCATTTCCAGTCTTTCATGCCATCGTTCACTCTCTCCACAGAAAAGGGAGTGACTTATCTGCCTGATGAATTTAGGAAAAACCCCTGGTAAGTGTGGTAAAATCCTTGGTAAGCTTGTTTCCATTCCCTTTGTTTAAGATATGCTCTTTTGCAGCAATATTTTTTCTGACATATCTATAATGCCTGTTTCTTCAGGTGTGTGTGTCTGTCTGTCTGTCTGTCTCTCTGTATGTATGTATGTGTGTGTATGTATGTGCAGTGTAAGGAAGGGAGACTGAAAAAGAAAGAACAGAGTATGCATGTGTGTTTATGAAGTTTAAGAAAACAATAGCATTTTGATGATTGGGTTTAACTTTGTATTTCATAGGGTGTACAAGCAAACTTCACAGGAGTTGTTCTGAATTGACTAAAGAAGTCCATAATGTGATGATATTTCTACAATTACTCCATATTTCTACAAATTATTGGACTAGAATAACTGCATCTGCTTTGTTTTCAAATGCAGATGTATTGTTTTCAAAAGATTAAAAATCACAAATGAAATGGTTGTATCTGAACTTTTTGACTGCATATAGATTGCTGTAAATAAGAAAATAAACATTCTTGCACGATTTATATTATCTGTTCTCAGCATTGTGCTCCATATTAGGGAAAGGAAACTAAAATAATATGGCATTTACCTTCTAATAACTCAAACTAATTGTGCAGCATGATTGATCAGCAATTTTATACTTTAAACTCATTAATGATTCAATTTCATCTATAATAACTTGTATATAATTAATATATTGATATATATTAATTGATTGAGACATACTCAGCTATTATTTATAGATGATCAAATTTATTTTCAAAATTAGACTTTGATTACTTATTTATGAAGCCATTATATGGATACACTATCTACATGTGTTTGCAACGTATGTATACATTGTAATGTATACATTGAAAGGTTAGAACCTATAAGCCTAATTTAAATAAACCCAAAGTATATTATAAATAATTGATTACAATTTAATTAGCTTTATGAATATAACAGCATAAAAATAATCAAAGAATAAATGTGAAAGTGATAAACTCTTTCAGAGGAAAGAATGCCATCTTTAAAGTAATTATGGTTTGTGAGACTCTCAATTGTTTTATATCATAAGCACTATTAAGCTTTGGTTCTCAAAGTTGGAATTAGGGACACAACAGGAGTGATTCTTTAGAGAACTTGTTTTGTCTTCTATCTCCAGTGACCTTAGTAGACTCTGCAGGATGCAGATGACTGTAGACAAGTGCCATTTAAAACACAGATCGAGCCAGGCAGTGGTGGCACGAACCTTTAATCCCAGCGCCTGGAAGGCAAGAGCAGGCAGATCTCTGTGAGTTCGAGGCCAGCCTGGTCTACAAGAGCTAGTTCCACGACAGGAACCAAAAGATGTGGAGAAACCCTGTCTAAAAAATAAAAACAAAAAAAGATAAAACAGATTGATCCTTGATTTTATGTAATTGGAACACATTGATGTGAAAGTCATGAGACATGAGCAAGCATGATGTATGTGTGTACTTATGCATCTTATGTCTGTGTATTTTTTTAAAGATTTATTTATTATGAATACAGTGTTCTTTCTACATGTATGCCTGCAGGCCAGAAGAGGGCACCAGATCACATTATAGATGGTTGTGAGCCACCATGTGGTTGGTGGGAATTGACCTCTGGAAGAGCACTCAATGCTCTTAACCTCTGAGCCATCTCTCCAGACCCAAGTCTGTGTATTTTCATATGTGTAGATTTTATATTTATGCATATATACCTACTTGTGTTCTCATATATATGTAGTCAATCATAATTTATGGGTCAAATACTTGTGCCATTTATCTTCCCTCTCCTCTCACAGTTTCCTTCCTTATCAACTCATAGCTGTCATTTCTCTATTGGTGCTGCTTGTTAGCAATGTATGTATTTAAAAAAAATTGGGGGGGGGGATGATTTTTAAACTCAGTTTGAATTTTCTTTCAACAAAGGTATTAATTCACTATACTTGTGTGACTTCATAATAACTTGCAAATAGGAAATATAAAGTATTTCATCGATTCTTCCTTCCCACACACCAAAAATTACTAAAATGATGCTTCTTCTATTCAGTAAAAAAACAAGCTAAGACTCGAATGTGATCATATGACTATGTTGAGGGCTGCCCACAACACTGTAGCCTAGATTAGATGATTTCTAGTCAAAAGCTCAGTAATTCATGTGGCTTTAATGATAGAGAATGGGTTTTGGAACAATTGTACCTGGGATGTAACTCTCATTCTTTGCCTCACATAAGTAGATTGCATCTTGAAGATCTTCACTTCCTGTATTAACTAAGAAGGGAGTACCCACAGTTGATGTTCTCTTATCAGGGGAATATTCCCAACAATTGATATTAACTTTTTAAATGTGCAGTTCTTACAAGATTCACAATTTGAAATTTTATTTCTTCTATTTCATTGAGTGCGTCTGCCTCCATTATTAGACAACCTGTACTCAAGAACATAAACTCATTCTTTGTTCAACACAAAAGTTAAATACGATGGTGGCGCACACCTTTAATCCCAGCACTCGGGAGGCAGAGGCAGGCGGATCTCTGTGAGTTCGAGACCAGCCTGGTCTACAGAGCTAGTTCCAGGACAGGAACCAAAGCCACAGAGAAACCCTGTCTCGAACCCCCCCCCCAAAAAAAAACAAACAAACAAACAAAAAAAATACAGAGAGCAAAACTTTCTATGGAAAAGTGATAATTATTCTTAACTAAATTGCAAGGATTGGCTTATCATTTATTTAATCCCTGCAACTGTTCTATTCACTGCAACAATAAGAATTGTATAAATTGTATACAGACATATTTGGGTTGAAAAGGAAAAGAAGGTGGTGATATCGTGCTTTGGTAAACATTTGCCTAAAATATAGGATGCCCCGAGAACAATCCTCAATATTACCAAACCAAAGAAAACAAAATAAAAACCAAGATACACAAATGAAAAGAAATAAAAAAAATCCAATTCGATTAAAGTAGGCTATCTAACACTAGGGGCAAAAAAAATCACATAAAATTATGTTATTAATGTTAGTATTCAGGCATCTGTACTGGCCTGATCTTGGGGTTTACGTCCTCAGCTGTAGCCATGAAGAGCCCCTCCTGTGCATGTTCCCTGCATTCTGCTTTAAAAGGACCCTGTCTGCCTCCCATAGTTCTCTTTCTCCCTTTCTCCTTTTCCCCCTTCACTTTCCCTCAATAAAAAACCTCTCCACCTGAGCTCCATTGCATGGCATCTTTCTCGCTCACACTGCTTTTACTAAGTTACATCAGTTTATAATTCTGCAGTCTGAATCAGTGATAGATCTTATTAGAAGATAGTTTACATATTATTCCTTACATTTTATGTGAAAAATTAAGCTATATATAATCTCTTTCTATTATGTATAAATGCATATGTGTATATGTATATACATATATGTATGCTTTATATATACATGCACACAATCTACATTTAAAAATTTCTACACTAAATGCTATCTAATACCTTTATATAACAAATCAGCAACAGAATTGACATTTATCTGGTTATGTAGAAAATATAAAAAATTGTATTTTTCTATTATATATTTATGTAACATGTGAATGTATATTTATAATAAAATAAAGCCCCATATAGCCAATAATTCATTTGTGTATACATATAAACACACATTTGTATACACAATGAAAGAAATAAGACTATATGTGTTGAAATGATTATCAATTACATTAATGATAAGTTCCAATTTGATATGTGATTGCATTTGGTTTTAGATTTTCTAAAATGAGTCTTTTGTTTTTCTGGTAACTGAATAAGAACCAATTCTACTTAGTTGGTGCAGTTATTGCCTAAGCTATTATTTTCATACAAAAGAAAGAAAATTTTCACTATGTGGTTTTTGATTGACAGCGAGAACATGAAAAGCAAACATAAACCCAGGAGAGCATGGGGGCTCTTAACATCACTGTGTTGGCTTCCTGTTTTTTTTTTTTCCTTTCTATTTTCCACAGTGTTCTCCTTGCCTGTGTGTGGAGGACTTCATGTTGCCAGGCTGAAATGATAGCAGCCTCTGAATACAGCAATGACTTGCACTTGAGAAAGACCAAGCAAAATTTATCTGTGCTCAAAAATATTATGCACCATCACCATCAGAAAATCCTCTGGGCATATTTCATAAGATTCTGGAATTTAAAACACAGGAATGTGAATACTATTTTGAATATTACATTCCGTTAATAATTCAATGGTGTCTGAGGCAAAGGGCCATTTTTAGAAAATTTTGCCGTATAATCTTTTGTGATTAATTAAGTTTCTGTGGTGCAACAAACCACCACGCTCTCTATATTTTAAACTGCATGAGAAATTGAATATCTAAGTAACACAGCCTTGTCATTCTCCAATTACTGAAAAGTAAAAGATATTTAATTAGCAGATGTACAGGTTGTAAAATAGTAGTGCAGTATTTAATGAATACTTGAATCCATCCTGATACACCGCTGAAATCTTACATGTGAAACTGAGAACGATTTGGCTCCGGTCTTTCTCCCCTCAGACAAGGAATATTTTCACTTAAATTGCCAGGATCTATAAAAACCCAAGCTCAAGGAACAAAACAATTTAGCTCAGAGTCACAGAAATCAGCTTACGATCACATCCCTTTTTCCTTGGGGCATTTCTTCAGAGATTTTTTTTTTTTTTTTTTACTGATTTGATTATACAACAGAAGGTTAAATTCTCACATTCTGATAATTAGGAAAAAATAAACAGAGCAAGTACTAAAGCTGGCTTTGCACCTACTGAATGCTGCAAGTGTCTGTACTCATTGGATATGCATCTTGCAAAGCTCGGCTGTTCCCAGAAGGCCACTCCATGAAGACTGAGAGAGCAGCGTCTGCTAGTGGTGCCTGCGTGTCACAAAGAACAGAGAGAAGCTTTATCGCAGGATGCTGGAAGGCAAAGCATTGGGAGGCAGACTACAAGCTGGGTTTATGCGTTTTCTTTCTTGCTTTAGGAAACATGCACGTGAAATTCTTTTGAATATTTTTGTAATTCATGAGTCATAGTGAGGAAGCAACGCATCAGCAGCGTTTTTGAAATCTCTTCTTCGACTCCATTTATGAAGCATTTTGCTAAAATCGCTCCATCAACTGCTTATTGGACAGACTTATTTATAGAGCAAGGACAGAGACACAACTTACTAAGCAAACATAGCATACAGTTCAGGGCTATAAGCATTATTGGGGTTGGATGGGTCCTCTTACTGTACCTGTGGCATTCAGTGGACATTGATTGAATGCCAGGTCTCCTGCGGGAGTTCTTTTCCACACCATGGATATCAGATAATCCTCTGGGCATATTTCATAAGGTGCTGGAATTGAAGACACAGACTTATGAATGTTAGCAGAGTTTATGCTCTCAAATGTTGGCACAAAACATTCATCAAATGCATCTAAATGCAGAGTTCTTCCCTGTCTGTAAATAATAGGATTTACTGACATGTTAGAGATGTGCTTATAAAGAAACCACCGGGTCTCATTTAACAGTCTTTAAACCCTCACGGATTCTTTATAGCTTCTTATGTACATGTTTTAATTGAAGAGTCAATGGGGTTTTCAAATAAATGGACACATTTAAGAACATTAGTGAAAAATCTTACAAACTTGAAACTACAGATGTTAATTTTCCAATAAACCAGTTGTTTTGACATTGTTAATGGTCTGAGAAATATGCACATGCATATGCACACAAGCACACACATACACACACACACATATAAGTCTAGCAATACTAGGCAACTGTTCTACCACTGAGCTATATCCACAGCCCAAGATATATTTTATTTCTTCATACAGGAATAGCCATGGTAGTCATAGTTTGTTTTATGTAAGCATGTTGATTTGATCTTTATGCCTTACTGCTTTTTTAATCTCAATTTATTTACAAAGCAAAGAAACAGAAAAGAGCCAGGCAAGGGTGGTGCGCACCTTTAAGTCCAGGACTCGGGAGGCAGGGGCAGGTGCATCTCTATGAGTTCGAGGCCAGCTTGATCTACAAATCTAGTTCCAGGACAGCTAGGACTATTACTCAGAGAAACCTTGTCTTGAAAAACAAAAACAACAACAACAAAAAAACAACAAACGAAGCAAAAAAAAGATAGAAAAAAGAAAAAAGGGACAAAAAAGTAAAAATAATATATCCACAAATGAAATATTATTTCAATTACTTCTTTTATTTTTTGATTATAATATAGTTACATCTTTTCTTCTATCCCCTTTCTCCATCCACACCTCCTATCTCATACCTCTCCCTGTTTTTTTTTCAAATTTGTCTCTTTATCCATTAATTATTGTTACACGCATATATGTATATATAAATACATAAGTACAACCTGCTAGGTCTGTATTATAAATCATGAAATAGTGAGATTCATCAAACATTGTACTTTCTACTTCAGAATTCATGAACTTATTTCACATTTCCGTATTTAGTTGATGAAGAATAAAGTTCCACACATTAGATCCTTAGGCTGTATTTTCTTTTCAAAGAGTGATGTTTCAGAACTGCACCTGTCAGCACAGGCCACCTCTCTTCTATCTCCTTTACAGATGAGGCACTGTCGCTAAAAAGAAGAGGTCCCCTTGTGGTGGTAGGCAAGGTGGAGGAATCAGTAAAGTTTGGATCCTACAGTCCTAATGCATCCCCAGTTTCCTTGGGCTTTCCGAATACCTTCTTTGTTATTCGTGATATTCTTCTGCCTCTGAGATAGTGTGTATGCATTTTTCTAGATTCTCACTGAAGCACAACGCTATTGTTTTCATTCTATGAGGTCTTTGCACCATGGAAGATTTGGTGGCTGATTTTTCTTTCTTTAACCTATGTCTGAATGGCATCTTCTTCATCTCATCAATGTTGTGCTGCTAGGCTTATCTCAGTCTGAACTCACTGAACTTTTCCGCAGCTCTGCAGACTTGGATTTATTCCTTTTCTGGGGAATTCCTTTCTCCAGGATCTTAGCTATTTTTTCTCTGGCATCCACCGATTACTTGTGGTGTTTTCCTGGATCCATCTTCTGAATGCTCTCTGCATGATCATCAATGCAAAGCTCTCTTTAGATAATTTCAAAATTAGTAACAATTGTAGCCTTTTAAAATAAGCCTTATTTAGAATCTCACATTCCTGGATCCATTTAATTTCCCCAACTATGAATAAGAGTTGCACACCATTCTAATATACCACATGGGAAAATAAAGTTGAAGAGGCAAATAAACTTGTTTTTTTTTTTTTCAGAATTCAAACACTCCATTTATTGCATGTTAACTCTAGATGAGAAAATAAATGTAGATGGGGTCACTAAATGGAAAAAGAGTCATTTAGCCAGGGTATCCTGACCTTATCCCATCAGGATTAAAACCATGTCTCTCTGACCCCTTAAAAACACCACCTGTTACACAGGGACATGTTACACAGAATCAGGGTTCTTTCCTGGGACTCAAAGATGGTTTTTTATCCTTAAATTGGCTGTGGGAATGGGAGGGACACATAGAATGAATGTGCATCATACATACAAAGAAGCAAAATAACTCATCCCAAAGATGTCAAACTTAAGTAAGGTGGCACAACCTTTCAGCACGTTTCCTTCCCCATGCAGCTCAATTAACAGCTGGGGTACCACTTTCTGCAGCCACAACCGGTAAGTAGCCATAGTTCCTCACCCCCAGAAGCAAGCTGTGAGACTTTAATCGCTACCTCGTCTAGGCCCCCAACTCATGAAAATCACATGCATCTGTCTCCTGCTGCCTCCATAAATTTCCCACACGCTGGCCAGAGACCCAACTTTTTGTCTCCTAAGAGGAGGTCACCCCACCAGGAAGGAAAAATAAACCACTTTAAACTTACAAAGATCTGTGTGTCTTTGCTTGCCTAATGCTGTTATTAAAGGCATGTACCACCACACCCAGTTCCAGCCCCTCGTGATGGCAGATCAAAGCGCTGAGTCTGCTTTTTATTTGCTTATCAAAAGTAAAACAAACAAGAACAACAAAAACAACAAAATCAATTTGCTGATACTCAAGACTTACCCTCATCTTTGTCACTATTTCTCTCTTCTCCCTGTATGTCTGAACTCTGCCATCGACATATCACACTTTCCCCCATAACTGAAAACATTAGGTTAAACATCTGTACCTCCCACCCTTAATCCTCCTCTCTACTGTGGCCACTTATCGAAGGACTTATTCTGTCCTAGCTCATTGATTTCTGTCTAGCCTGTGCTAAAGAGAACTAAGAGTGCAGAAGGAGAGCAGACAGCTTTATGGTTCTTTAGTGTAGGGGAGACAGCTGAGGAAAAATGAGCTACAAATTAGGAAAAACATTTCATACAGTAAATAGAGGATCCCATTTCAATCTAAAATCTAAAGGATCTAAAAGAAGTCACATTTGATCGAGATGGCCACCGTGACCACTCCAGGCAGAAGAAGCCATGCGTGCAAACGCCATGAATGCCAATGGGACATGAAGGATGATAGAATGGACAAAAGCTGGGCACTGGTGTGAGAAGACAGAGCAACACCATAGGTGATGGGGGCGCAAGTATTCAGGCAGAGGATGACACGATTAACTTTTCCACCTTAAGATTAATTTGCTTTCATGTAGACTAGATGCAAAGACCTTCCGGGAAGCTAAAGCAAAAGCGTTATGATGACTGTAGGAAATGATGGCTGGACTGCAGAGCCAAACCATTGGAGCCACAAAGCAAACTCAGGAGGTAACTAAATGATTTGTGCAGCGAAGAGGACATGGAGTTCAAGGACGATTCCTGCTGTCTGGGCTGAGGAACTATGCCTAGAGATGCGAGCTCACTGCTTGAAACTCTCCCATGGCTCTGCGGGCTTGAAAGGACCAAGGTAAGTGTGCTCACTATGATGAAAGGATGCCCAGGGCAACTTTAATCTATAATGGCTCTAATTTACTTTCCAGTGCATTAGCCTCAGAGAATTAATGTTCATATCCAAATATCCCCCACTCATCCTTCTCGATCCTCTATATATCTTACTTCAAATAATCTCTCTGGTAAATGTAAATCTCACTTTCCTTTTTTGATGGATGAGCATAGGCAATTTTGAATCCAAGGTTAATATAGGTAGCATATAAAAGGAGAAAAAAGTCATACAGATCTCTTTTCTCCAGCTCTGGTTTCGTTCCTGAGCTTGGTTTAAATATACCACCTGAGCTGTGATAGCAACTAGATGTGCTTGGGTATCTCAAAGGCGACCTGTTGGCATCATCTGTCCCTCAATATTCTCCCTCAGAGGATGGAGCTAGGGGTGTAGAACACTAGGCATCTTTATTAAAATCTGACTTTGGTATTCTCTTTCTAAAGCTTCCTCCCCTCTTCCATCCTCCTCCACATTCTCAGTATGCTTGAAATCCCTCTGACTCCTACAGCCACTTCTTGTGACTTTTCCACTCCACCTCCTTGGCATCATGAGGACTGCTCCGGGTCTCTTGGCTTTAGTCTAACTTTCCTTTAATCTTTTCTTAAAAGTACAAGTGTTGCAATTAAAATAAAACATATTTGCTTTGTGGTTAAGTGTTCATTTTTCCACAAAGCCCCACTCAGTGCCTTGGCCACTGGCTATATCAATTTAGCATCTCTCACAGTGGACTGAAGGCATTTAGCGGTGCATGTACCACCTCCAAGACGATACATTTTAGAATGCTAAAATTGCTTCGTTTATTTCTTTTGTCTGTTATAATGAACAGCACAGGTGCTTAGCATACAGTAGGTACCCAAACTATATCTGTTAAATCATTTTTACTGAGCAAAAATATCCACCTAGAAATTTATGTGATGATAGACATGCCCCTCATTTTCACTGTCTTGTGCAGTGGCTACTAACCAAATTTGACTATGGAGTACCAGAAATATGGTTGGTGGGAATGAGGACTGGGTTTTCAGTTTCATTTAATGTTGTTAAGACAGATTTAGATAGATACCATTTTTGGACAACATTGTTAATAGATAATTATTTTATTTATTAAATACAACCACCAATAATTATAGAATACATTTACATGGAAAGTTAGAATAACTGTTAAAGTCTACAAGATTTGAATATATTGCATAATTAAATACTATATATAACTAGTGTATTTTTAAGGGTTCTGAGAATAGTTTATCTAACATGACTATTGCATTTGAATATGTTTTGTTCCATTGACACATCCAAGTTCTTTTCCAGTATGTTGTCAGTTATTAACTTTTACTTTTGACATCATATGTCTCTTATTTTCAGTGCTTTCCATTTCAAATTTTCTTCAGCTGCACCGAGGACCTTGGAAATAAATTTCCTAAATCTATTGCTATAC